ATTTTTCCACATCCTTCTTGTAGTGTGGGGCCCAAAACTGGACACAGTACTCCAGATGAGGCCTCACCAATGCTGAATAGAGGGGAATGATCACGTTCCTCAATCTGCTGGCAATGCTCCTACTTATACAGCCCAAAATGCCGTTAGCCTTCTTGGCAACAAGGGCACACTGTTGACTCATATCCAGCTTCTCGTCCACTGTAATCCTTAGGTCTTTTTCTGCAGAACTGCTGCCTAGCCACTCGGTCCCTAGTCTGTAGCAGTGCATGGGATTCTTCCGTCCTAAGTGCAGGACTCTACACTTGTCCTTGTTGAACCTCATCAGATTTCTTTTGGCCCAGTCCTCTAATTTGTCTAGATATTTTGTCTAGGTATTTCACATAATTCAGGGATCCAGTAGTAACTGGGCTAGGCTACACAAGAAGAAGACTAAATACATATGTAAATGGAACTTTAAACATAGAATATGCCATCCAAATTCCAGGAGGCACCATAAGCTCTGGAAAGTCTGTAAAAGCTGCAAGAAGTCTCTTGATTATCCCCCTTCCCCCTGGGGAAGAGATTTCCTGTACTTTACAATGCTCTTCACTTTGCATTTTTATTAAAACTCCCATGAATAAAGATGCAAAACATCTATGAGGAGACAAAATAGGTAACAGGTTCAAAACAAAAACATTTTATTAAACCATTAGTGCATGCACCTGCTATAGTGCTACAATCCATTCATCTTAAATATTACAGTAAAGTCTATCCTGCAATCAGAAAGGAACTGTGTAGGTAGACCCTTGCATCTGTGTAGGGCTGCTCAGGCTTCAAAGGGACTCCTGTACAAAAGTCTGTCTCCTTGAGTTTGACTACAGGACTGGGGCCTTAGATAAATGAATATATGTATATCTCAAGCACATCTGAAAATCTATGCACTTTTGGCCCAATCCAGCAAAGTATTTAAGCACGTTTAAATGCTTTGCTGAACAGAGATGTGCTGATGAATCAGAGCGTAGGAGAATTCCATATATATATTTGGGGCTAAAGATATTGCGGAGGGGGAGGGGGATTTTAAAAATGGGTAAAGTTGTTTTTTTTCTCTTCAAGTTTGTTGTTTTGATTTCTTCCTCACTAGATATGAACTGGATACTTTTTAACAGACCTTGGCACAGAATAGTAGTAGTTTTGGACTGCTCCATCTTAGACACCAACCATATCGTTGGTATGAAACTACTCTAATTAAAGGGTTTTGAGATATAGTCTGACTAGTCATCACACTTCAGGATTTCATCCTAGAGTCTTGTCAACAATTGTCCTGCACCACATCTGGCTACTGAGTGCCTGATTCTGATTTCACATCAGTTTTTATATTGCTATATCTCCATTGACTTCAATGAAGTTACTCTTGATTCAGACTGGGATCAGAATCAGGACCACGGGCTCTTTCAAATCCTTCCATCTTCATTCCAGGTTACCCTGCTGTGCCCTATTATTTAATACTGCTCATGCAGATGTAGAGGAACTATATCTTGATTATTGCAATGTTATCGGAAATATGTTTTTACTATATTTTTAATTTTATGATAGTAATCTGGAGTAATACTGTGGAGGCATTGTAAAGCCTTTATTCTACTTTTAATGGAACCCACAGCCTTTGTCACCACTAAATGTCCATTAAAATTCTACCTAATGATGTATTAAAAAACCTTTATAGGTAAGTATGGAATTCAGTTAAGTGAAACTAATTTACAATTTTAGATCTCATTTGTGAGTTTATGTAAAACACAAAAAGATGTTTTCCAACTGAAAATTGTTACCAGACATTATTTAAATATCCTTTAGTTAAATTCACTACAGTGCTGTGTTATTTTAATTTTTGAGTCAGCTAGGTTAGCTCTGTTGAAATCAACGGAGTGATGCTGACTTACATTGGTTGAGGATCAGACCCACAGTACCTGTTTTTAGGTATTTCTAATGTGCCCATCATCATAATATCTGTACTAATGGTTCCACTCCACCACAGATATTTGCTCTTTTGAAGTCTAGACCTTTCCTTTGATTTGCTTTAATGATGTTTTAAGTCTATAATGTGATTTGAAAACAGTTCCTCTTAAGGAGGTCAGTATATAATGAATTAAAGTTAAAGGTGTGTCTTGCTCCTAAAAGCTGTACAATTATGTTACGAAAAGAACCCCGCTTATAGTGACAGAAACTCATCAGTAATTGTTTCTCTACCAATTTCAGTAATAGATCCAGCTCAGCATCAAGTGCTCTATACGATAAGATTAACATATTTAGGATTTTTCTAGAATACTTTCTATCAGAGAAAGGTTCAGGAAACTCTAGTTACTGCTAAATTTAACATATTGGAAAAAAAGAAGACAAAATAAATTTCCCAACTCCAGTTTCCAGGGTGTAAGAAAGTTCATATACAATCCCTTTACCATGAGCAGGTGAACTCTCAATGATGGCCAATCCTTTTCAATTACTTTATGAGTATTCTTGGGAGGTTTTT